TTTAACATGTAATAAAAAAGGATGGAAACATGCGTTTACGTTGGCTTGATCTGCGCGTGATGTCGAAATTACACCAAAGCATGATTAAAAAAGAAGGAAAAAGATCATGGGTTTCTGGTAGGGATTGTCTTGTTCCCGGAGCCAATGGAAGGAAGACACGATTGTTCCGTGATTGTGAAAGGTTTGATTAATTAGATCAGTTGATAAATTTTGACCTGTGTAGTAGTGTGAAAGCTGATCAACAACACGTGCATCGGTCCAACTTTGACCATCAGTTGTGCAATGATTTTTACTTTCTGATGCACGAAGTCATCTTATGGGGCAGTTGGTGTAAGAGGAGAGAAGTTGGCATGTTTGGTTAGGTTCGTGTAGGCCATGCACGACGTCTGTCATGAATTGAATGCTTCCATTTTCGTGAAGGTATAGAGAGCTTCTTGACGAATCTGGAAGAGGGTCTCTGGCTGAGAGTTGAAACCCTTCCTACTCCCACCTGCAATGAACTTGATAAAGACTAACTGGAATTAGGAAGGTGGTCCAGGGTCAGGATAGTTTTATCCTGAACTGACAATCTGACAGACACACCCACCTCTCTGTCATCTTATAAATGGCCCTTAAACCGACGAGGAAAGCATGTTGAAAGCCTCAGATCATGTGGATAGCAATGGTGTTTTGGAATTTGAATGCTTTTTATCCTTTGTTCTTCTGCAGCCAGACGTTGATGTCATTTGTTTAACCATGCTGCGATTGCTACCATAACCCTTTTTGGCTGATAGAGGGTTGAACATCAATGCTTCTTGCCTTACGTGTGCTCATGATGTTTAAAAGTTGGATCATCAGTTTAGAACTTGCTGGTTTACAGAAAAAGTTTCGGACTGACTTGGGCTATGCCTTTCCACATCACATCAGAAACTCATTCTGACTATCACTCGCTGAATGGCTGAAAATGAACTGTCTCTGTCTGCTTGCCTAAAGCTTATGTGGAAGGTCATTTTACCCTTCGCTCTCTGGTTACTTCGGCTGCCGACACAATGGCAACTGTCTTTGATCATAAAGCCAAAATTTCATTACTTGAAAGACAAGCTCTGTCTTGCGAGAGCTGCTGAATACCGTGCTGTTTCTACAGAAAAGAAACTCCACTCTACCAGAGAAATCGTCTCGGTTCAATGGACTCCCCCCCCGGCCTTGAGCTCTCGTGGTGTGGATAGTTGCGGGATGGGGGCATGTGTTGTTTCGATCGAACAGTGGCTCGAGGTTGTAGCGGCCAGAAAGGCAGGCCAATGTCCGCCGCATGGCTCACGTTTTTGTGTGCCGAGGACATAAAATGGCACGATGTCGACCGGGTGAGGTCGTCAAACTGTGAACTCTTCCCGTATGGTAGAGGTGGTGGAGTCATATCCAGCCTTGCGTCGAAGTCATCATTATTTTAGGGATAAATGCATTCGAAATCTTAAAATTTATCGCGAAAATGCAATTGAATCCTAAAATTTTTAAAAAATACAATCAAAGTCTTAAAACTTATCATAAAAGTTCAATTGAGTCATAAAACTTTAAAACTTATCAAGTTAGTACAATCAAATCCTAAAAAAAAGAGTTGGGCGGAGTTAATGGAATGACTTGGTTGCACTTTTTGGAAGTTTTATGAATCAACTGTACTTTCGTGAGAAGTTTAGGACTTTCGGTACACTTGTCCCTTTATTTCAAAGGTCGGTCAACACGGATTTAGCTATTTAATTAGCTCGTTTGGTAATATGTCCATAGTCTTCCTATTGTGAGAAAGAATAGAGGAAATATTCTTCAAAAAATGCGTGTTCTGTGCCCACATTTTTCTTTCCCTCGACCTCCCAAACGTGGCATGAGTTTCATTCCAAAGTAGCCTTGTTCACACACGTTCGACATAATAGTCGACTAGTCACGTTTCTTTTATATGTAGGACCAAGTGATTAAGCATGCTTTTTCAGAAGAAAAAGAAGATTAAGGTATCCCTAAAAATATGAGATCAGTATTCATATTTTAACTAATGGGATTGTATGACTAATCATAGAGAATAATAGGGTTTTTTGTTCTTTTCACCTCACGTGTCGGCCCGAGAAAATGAAAATTCTCGTTCCATCATGTGGTTCGATTTCCACATTTAAATCACGGATTATAGAAATGTCGTTTAAAGAAAAAAACGCAATTGGACAACCACTTCATGTTTCACGAGTTAAAAGTAGGGAGGGAAAAAACCACATAAAAACTCCAAATTAGGGGTGTGCAAAACGGATCGCCAAATCGGGAATCGCCCAGACCAGACCGAACCGGCCGGTTGGGTCCGGTTCCCGAGAGTCTCGGTCTAGTTCCCGATTCCTAAAAGTGGAACTGGTCGACCGACTACATGTATATTTTTATTTCTTTAAAAAATTAGTAAAATGTGAACTAAACCCTAAGTGAACTTCATTGACATAGATTAAGATTGAACTTCATTGACAAAAATTAGTAAAATGTAAACTAAACCCTTAGTGACCCGTTCCATTAGACCGGACCGGGACCGCCAGTCCCCGATTTTACAATTTTGGGAACTGGTCTGGTTCTCGGTTCCACCTTGGAACTAGAACGAACCGGGAACCGATCACCCATGCTCCAAACTTTGCTCACTAGGCCACTTTACCCTGATATTTTATTTTGGTGATATCAAAAACCTCAAACTATGCCTGTTGTGACATAGTCACCCTAAACATTTTCTCGTGATATTAAAAATCCCAAACTTGTACCTATGCGACACATTTACTTTAGCCAAAACAATGTCATTTTTATTTTACTTAAACCTCGCGAGCGTCATGTCAACAATGATCAACGTAGGCAGATGTTTAACGGTCTTCATTGATAGAATTTTAACGGAAGATGCATGTGTTACACAAGTATAAATTTAAGACGAGTTTAGGATATACGTGTCAAGAGGAGCATAATTTGAAGTTTTTAATAGCTTTTGCCGTCCGTACAAGTTGGCTTCTGGAGAATAGCTGAGGCTTATTAAATGGAGCTGCTCGTGGGTCGGGGGTCCTCTCGTTGAACCCGCAACTTTCTCGTCTACATGCGCCGACGACACGTCGTTTTAATTGCATGTGGGGATGGCATCATCCCCTCTCTCTCTTTACAACCCCACATGTGTTGTTCATCGTGTGTTTGGTGCATGTGTGGGGCTTTCTGGTGGGTCTGTCCCTAGAGAGAGAAAGGGGGACCCGAGGGGAGGAGCGGACGATCCCGGCGAGTTCCGAGTGTCGGGCGGGTCGGGACAGGCTCAGGCCGATCAGAGTCGTCGAAACGCCGGTTTGGCGGTGCGTGTAATGAGGAGCTTATTAAGAAGTGGCAAACAATCCAGCGTATGAGGCGAGACGGTGCACGTGGGGCGGCCTTTTAAGGGTTTTGAAAACACAAACCCCGTTTCCTAAAATCGTTCCGGTACAAGTCATCCATGACATCGCTTACGAAAGTCGCGAAAATCGCTATGTATTGACTTAGGATTCCGGCCCGGTTGTTGCCCTATTATGTACTAAGGTCTTTTGATATCACCATTTTCTTGAATACCCAATACAAAAAGATGTAGTAAGATACCATCTATACCAAACGTTCTGTAAACAATCGGAAGAAATCAATGATATCGATTTGAATAATATCCCCTCAATTAACAATTGGCATAATTTGACAAAACCGAGAGCCATTCCACATTGTGCAGCGCATGATTATAGATTAAATTGAACTTGTACGACTGATTAAATCTTTATAAAGAAAGAAGCATTGAACATGCTTTAATCTTGCAAATCTCTAGGGCCTTTGAAGTCCAAGATCGAGGTTTGAACGAGAAGCCCCTCATCAGTCCCCGTCATCCCCATCATCACCCGATGACTTTTCCTGAGATTTTCTGAAGGCACGGTGACGACGGCTTGTACAAGGCGAGATCACGTGGGGATCACGTTTTCTCATGCTGCATCCAATTCCAATCCATCAGATATTGAGAATATCAGGGCGATGTAGGAAAATCACGTTTGAGTACAGAAAAATGTGTGTTTGACAGAGTACAATGCTGCTTTCGATCAAAAAAAAAAAAAGACAGAGTACAATGCCGCTGATATATGTGGTGTAGCTTATGATTCTTCCTTGAAATTAATGTAATGTTGCACCCGGCGATCGGGGGGGATCGCGACCGCGTCGATAGCTCCAGGTTCGAGCCGATTCGGCCGTGTTCGGAATGTCAAACTGATCAGATTGATTGCTTTCTTGTAGAATCATATGTGTTTGACTAGAGAAAGAGGGCGGGTGATGCAGCATCATATATGTGGCGTAGCTCATGATTCTTCCTTGAAATTAATATAATGTTAGACCCGGCGAACCGGGGGGGATCGCGACCGCATCGATAGCTCCAGGTTCGAGCCGATTCGGCCGTGTTCCGGGATCGTCAAACTGATCAGATTGATTGTTTTCTTGTAGAATCATCTGTATTTGACTAGAGAAAGAGGGCAGGTGATGCAGCATCTTTTGAGTTTCTTTTTCCTCCTTTTGGTTGGACTTAGCTTTCCTTGATGATCTTCATGGGCCATGTTCCACGTGAGCATCCATTGGAGTACTGGACTATGGTTTGAATTAGGGTTTTGCTTCGACGACAAGTTATTGGGTTCGGGCGAGCTTAATATGAACAAATGGACGGAAGCATCTTGACATCTCTTGTCGAATCGATCTGATTGAATGATTCGGGTGAATTGATCTTGAATGGACTGAGCGCACGAAAGAATCTTTCCTTTCAACCTCGAAGAGGGCTATCAAGACCGATCTCGATAGAGCGAGACCGTCCATCCGCAAAGTCCTTATGGGCGGGGATTGACTCGAGATTCCCGAGCCATGAGTTCGAAGACCTTGCATAGAAATTATACCACAATGTATCCTAACAAGGCCATGAGCACACTAATGAAACAGGGCCATCTAGCTTGGATTTCGGAAAGTTATTTGCAGCAGGAACTTTCACCATATGATCAAACCCCACCAATTTCCTTCATTGAAAAAGCCCCGAAATACAATGCCTGTTACGCTATCGGTTTCATGATTTATGGATGCTTCCTACTTGTACAATGTTCAGGATGCAGTTTACATCATGATCAATGCGCCTCCGGCTATGTCACCTTTCTCATCCACGTAAAATCAATGGCCTACGTATTAGACAAGACTTAGCTCGTCCTTGGTATAAAGAGCATTCGCTTGGACTTGAGAATCGATAGCGGTGGCTATCTTCTTTCGCAGAGCCACCAGCTCTTCCCCAGCACCGCATATATATGCTGAAGCCTGCCTCCCGGATAAGGTGGCGCCTTCCATGCTATCGATGTAATCCTGCACAAGCAAATTCTTAAGCCACATTTTCTCGATTTTATGTAACAGAATCAGCCATTAAGCTCACATCAAGCTAAGAAAAAGTAAAATCACCTGCTTTGTGTATGAGCCGGCGAGGAAAAAGTTTTTGATGGGTGTCTTCTGATCAGGTCTGAATGGATCTTTACCGGGACCTTCTCGGTAGAGAGATTGTCCGATTTTAACGACAGATGACCAAGTCACTTCTAAGCCTTGAGATGACGGGAACAATGTGAGGACCTGATACAAAAGGAGGCCATAAACTTAACAGATGAAAACATGCCAAGCGTTTATGGCATGGCAATAAGAGAAGTTCACAAAAGTTCCGAACCAAATTAGCGCCTTAGAGGAATTAAAGAAGCCATGCTTAAACATCAACAACAATTCATGGTAATTCCAGGTTAATAGAACAAAGCCTGCTTGTTCCCTGTTAAAGGTACAGGGCTGTCATTCAAAGAAAGATTGGGCTTCTAAAAGACGAACCTGCTTAGAGACTCTTTTGATGATCTCATCATTCGGCAAAGGCATATACGGATCACCCGGTGTCAGAACACATCTGGAATAAAACAGATTTAAATCAGTCATGGCACATGCACCCAGGAGACTAAATATTTGTTCGCAATAAAATATAAACGACATTCTATGTTTCATGAGCATGCAAAAGACCTATATATTAAGTTTAACTGATATATTAGTTTGGTCTAAGAAATATTTAAGATTATGAGAACAAATAACCCAAGAGGAACCTATAGCATATTGCTTAAATAAAGTGTTGATAAAGAAATTCATTTTCCCATAAAAAGTTTTCTTTCTCTACTTCAGATTTTGTAAGCTCTCTCTATGAGAGAGAGAGAGAGAGAGAGAGAGAGAGATCACCCGTCCTGAACTAATGAAAATATGCACATAGTCCTAACAAAATAAAGGCACTTCTTTACGACCATTAAAGTACTTGGATATTGTAAACCTAACAAGATCCATTTTCAGAACAGCAGGTCTCAAAGAAAATGAGTTTTGTAAACATTTGTCAATAAAAAATGAAAGTTTTCTTACTGGAGCAAGGAACCTTGTCCCTCAATGTAGTAATCTTCTGGAGAAGCGAGCGCTAGGTCTGCGAAGCAAGAGAAATCCGCATCTGGAGTGTAGAGAAGGTTGTCTAACCCGGCAGCTTTCCTCAATAGCCTATCAACTCTCGGTTAAGCATGTCAGTAATATGCTCTTGTAAAGTATAGGATAGTGGAAATTTGGGTTTTTGCAGCCAGCTCTAGTAAGAGACCGCATTATTTTTGCAAAACTCACATTCACAGTTACACAGAAGATTACCTTGACCTCTCTAGATCCTGCAACTCCGTTACCCAGCCGTTGTACCGAAGCTGCACCGTGACAACAGGCACGCCAACTAGCTGATAAATATTATCGAAGAATTCCCATTCCCTCCATTGTGTTGGAAGAAGTCTCTTGATGCCAGGCACATCACACGCTGCCATTCGGGTGGAGGAATCAAATGATATATGGTTCATAAATCTAAAGGGAAAAGGTAAATATCTAGAGAGTAGATCTAATTACAGACCTGCTACATAAGCATCAGCTTTCACAACTTTTTTATTGGTAGCCTGAGAAACAAATTTCCACAAGACTTATATTAGCCTGAGAAAAATAAGAGATGCGCACCCCCGAAAACCATATGCAGTTTGTGATAATGCCATCAATGTTTGTTAGCAGTGGCAGGTCATTCATATTGTAGCGAGAGATGGACACTATCACACTAAATGCTTAATGAAATAAACCGACTTAATAACATTTCGCTTGACCAATTTGAAGGATACTTGAAAATTATCAGCAGTGAAAAATATCAATCTATAACTCATGCATAGTCAAAGAGAATTGTCTGAAAGCTTATTGGTCAAGGAGTTGTCATCTTATTAAATTGGACAATTTTAGGAAGACCTTTCATTGGCTTAATTCAGGTCTATTTGATGATGGCTTGGTACACTTCTTTCCTTTCTTTGGAGTATTTCTTCGCAAGGAAACATACGCAAGTAATGCAAAAATTGGTCAGACATATCAAGCAGACTTCTCTTGGTCTGACTTGAAGCAAGATAATGTCAGGAAAAAAGAGCTTCACAAATCATGTAGTTGACAAACTAGTCATAGAAAATGTCTCTAAATGCATGAACTAGTACCATAGGCATTCCAACTTAAGGGAAGGAGGTGAACACATTACTTTAGAAATAGCAAGTCCTGCAATGTATGTCTCTCCATCAGCCGATTTATCATAGAGTATCTCTCTGCATCCCCACCTAAGATGGAACCTGTTCTAGCGGAGAGAGACTCTAGATTAAGGGAAAAAATATTGCCAATTACTTGCTTTCAAACGATCTTTTGAAAAGATGCATATACCTGCCTCCTCTGTCTGTAATGTACTTCCTAATTGGGCCGCTCAAGTAAACGTCTGGAGAGCCCTTGAGCATGCGTAGTAGAGAAGCCTCTGTTTTGGTGGCAAACAACGCAAATATTGTGAGCATACAACGAGCGCTGATGTTGTCACAGTCGATAAATCCAAGGGCATAGGCAACAGGATCCCACATTCTCTGGATGCTCATCCGTGTGCCACCCTTGGACATAAACCAATCAGAGAAGCTTACCTGCAAGAGGCACCAGAAATTATAGCGATTAAGCAACAACTGAAACATTATTGAGTAAAACTATCACGGAGAACAGGAAGAAATTTTATGAAGTTCCAAGGAAAGAAGAAACTCTGGAGATGTAACTAAGACAAAACGCATGAGAAATTCCTCTACAGAATTCTGGAACTCATGATTCACATTTGATGAAAATGAGAAGATAATCCAAAAGGATAAACCACTAAGTTTATCATCTTACACTATCCAAACCACGTATGTCCTTCAGCGCTCCATCTGGATCGACTAGAGCCCTCACAACTGGACTCAGTGCAAGAGCAACGGCATTTCTGGCTTTATCATAAGTCTGCATGCAATTATTGAAGAAAGAGTGCTTATGTCATCTGTGAACTCGTGTCCCAGAAAAACCGTTTTGTTATGAATCAAAGCCCAATTTGGTGACCACAGCCGCAGGTAGTTGACACATATCGTGCAAAGCAAAACTTGATTTTTAAACCGTTCGAGAGTAAAATTCGCTCAAAAGAAGATTTTTTTTTTTGGTCAAAGCTCGAAAGAAGATTACAAGACACTCATTTTTTAGATTATTTCGTCAATAAGTTCAAATGCAAGTAAATCACAGCATAATGGAAATCCGGGCAGTACTAGAAAGCATCACGAAGAAAGAGAAATATTCATAAATGTATTGTTCCTGAAACATTACCTTCAGTTGATTTGTCGTCAAGAATGCACGAATCCCGTGCAGTGGAGCTCCAACAGGAAACCGAAAATCAAGTTCTGACAAAAAATCAATGCATGAAGTTTTACTCCAAAATAACTCATCTATATATCACCACAATGTAAAGGTCTTATCATGAAATCAATTCTGCTATGAAACTGGAAGAAGCTAATTATTGTCAATTTTGAAAGGTTAAACCGTACCGCCAATTTCACCACCTTTGTTCACAAAGGTATGGGTGTGATCCTTCACAAGCAAATTTTGCTCTGCACCCACCTATGTTGAAGAGAATGAAAGAGAAATCATCGGAAACCATAGAATTTCTGTACTTTAACTTACTTAAAAATGTTTCGAACTTACTCTGCTTCAAGGATCATTAGTTCCAAGCAAAAAGATAAGACCAGTTTCAAGAAAACACGTTATCATTTCACATTCTCGTTATGAGAAAATAAAATATGTTCACCTTCTTCATCAAACGAAAAAGATTGTTGTAGCAGCCAAAAAAGACATGCAGACCCATTTCGATGTGGTTTCCACGTTTATCAACGAATGAACCGACTTTCCCACCAATGAAGGACCTTGAATCATATATATCCACCTGAAAATTTAAGACGTGATTACAAACATCCAAAATATCATCATAAGATATCCAAAGAACATTAACCACTAGTTATGCATATGACTCCCAAATGAAGCAATGCTAACATAAACAAACACTTAAATTTTCTAGAACAAAGCATGCTTCTGTAATTCACTCAAAGTCCAACTTTAATTTGATTCCTCATTGCTTTGAGATCATATAATAGAAAATATCAAGCTGATGTTCTTCAAGGGGTGAAGAACCAAGTGCTGGCAACCAACAAGTAACTATCCCAGGTGCATATTGGGAGGACTCGAGAATGAAGAACAGCAAACCTCGTGGCCTTGATCCAAAAGCTCGACCGCAGTCGACATACCCGCAAGCCCTGCTCCTATGATTGCCACTTTCAGCTTCGGCCCCCTGTAATGTTCAGGCTCTGGAGGGAACAAGCCCTTTGGAGCTGCAGAGAAAACCAGCGATTTGCATAGCCGGATTTAAATTACTACAAGCCCGAGATTATCAACCCAACTTACAATCATCAATAAAATAATGCACAAATTTCTCCTTCCTCCATAGATGGCTTGAACTAATTAGACAACACAAGACTGGCAAATCATTTTTAACCAACACCTTGACTCTCACTCTCATCAGCTCATCTTCATGATAGAAATGGACGGTAAGATATACTCCCAGTCCCTAAACACTTAATCTGAGTACAATATGAAAAAGTTTCACCTTGAATCTCGTAAAATCCATTGAAATCAATAACAGGGTCCTCTCTTGAAATTACTTCAGGACACAAAATTCGAAAAAAAAAGTTCCTTTAGCCTAATCAAACGCAAAAAAACTAGAACCAGAAGCGAAAAAACGTAAATTGATCCCAGAAAACTAGAATTAGAGCAGCTTAGCACCCAAAAAGAGAATGAAATTTGAGCTCGCATACCATTAACGCTCATGTCTGAAACATTTGAGTCCAGCGAAGACCGAACGCACAGCCTCTGCGGCACCTTCCACAGCTGCCGGCGACGACCCGATAGCGAGAATTCGCCATTTCCTTTCCGGGTCCGGGCCACGGAAGCCGCCGGAAAAGCAACGGAAGAAGCCATGGACAGGTGCCGGCAGCCCAAAAAGCCGGGGCAAAGTTCGAAGCTTTATGGCGTAGGATGTGTCTGAATCACAGAATTTTGTAGTTTTTAACGTCCCAACGCTCTCCTCAGGTAGAGAGAGAAGGAGACACGTAAGTGGATACAGTGCTAAATAGTTTAGAGAGAGAAAGTTAGGCTTTTGAGGGGGGGGGGGGGGGGGGTATCTGGGCAAGAAGAGATGCTATGAGAGGGTTTTGTCAGGTAATTGAAGGCTTAAAAAGATTCTGTCGGTAGTGAAATTTTGGAGGCTATTGCGGTTGATTTAGTGGGAATTATTTGCTTGCTAATGGAATAATTATTGCCACTAAAAAGAGATAATGGGGCACCCAAAAATACAAAAAAAAATTCTTTTTTATGTTTTGTGATGTCATTTTTCTGTTGGTTCTGTTCTTAATTTTGTCTGTTTCATGGGTTTGGCATTTGCTTAGTGGGTGTTTAATGTTGTCCACCTTATCTTTTTTCATGGGTGTTAGGGCAATTAGTACCAAACGTTGTGTGTTTCCTTGTGCAGAAGGTTTTCTTGGTGAGTTTGAGTTTGTCTGGCCTGGATGAGATAAAGCTGAAAAACTATGCAGAAAAAGGAAATTTCCCTCCATTTTACCCTTTTCTCTTCCTGCATATTTTGATGAACTGTGAACAGAATAGTCGTTCCCATCACTAGTAGCTTGTCTTTAAGCCCAAAAGGGAACCCAGAAAAAGAAAAGAAGATGCTCTGAACAGGATGTCAAATTTGAGTTAGTAGATGCCTTGTGTTATGACAGCATTTACTCTGTTCTTTCTGTTTCATGTGACTTTGAGTGAACTCCAAAATACAGTTAAGGATCCATCCATTTTGCTTATAAATACTTAAAGGAAATGGAAGAACAATTGTCCAAGAACAACTCTTTGAGCTGATGAATTGTGTGATAAATTGATAATCACTGGACATTGATTTGACTCTTGATTAGGGAGACTTGGTTCTGATTGCAGCAAATCCACCCACAACAGTATGGAATGTGGATACCATAATGTGTCAGCTATCTGGGAAAGCAAGATCTTTGCATTGGCATTATCGCAGAATAAATTCAGTTGACTTAGCAGGCTGAAGGAAATCACTAGAAGATGCTTTTTGTCTCTTCTCAACCTCACAAAAAACGCTTCAACTGGATTTAAGAGCTGGACCTAAACAACACATTAGACGTGGAACAATCAAATCGCATGACAGTCCCAAAAACTATGTTGAAACCTGAGGTTTCTTCATTCTATCTACCAGAGGGCACTTCAAAACTAGGAGATCTCGTCTTGGTCTTAAACAGAAAAACAAAATCGTGGCATTTGCCAAGAGGAAAATTGATGAAGAATGAATAGCCGTTAATCTGATATGCAATGCAAATGGAAGATGGCTCGATGATTGGATCCAACGTTCTCCTACTTCAAAGTTTCAATAATCAATACATAGAAGACACCAATTTTTTGCCGATCAATGAACTTAACAATAGAAAGAGAATCGCTCGCAAAATTGTCAACAAGAGACGAGTACTCTGTTCATGCTACAATAAATGCTATTAGAACCACCCTATCATTGATATCATCGCTCAGTTTGTCCGGAGAGATGATGTGACAGTCATCAGATATGATTTTTCCGTAACCTTTTGTTTTCTTTCCTAATGCCTTATAGATCTATTCTATATACTTTTACCTTCCAAGCTCACAAATTACCTACAGAGCCGCAGCATCAGTGTGAAGGAGATTCATGTTAAAGACAAATTCCAGGTATATTGAATTGTTGATGGTATCTCATATTATTGCACAGACAACAAACAATGTAAAGAGAAGTGCGGTTGCTCCAAGAATTGAACATATGATCCAACAAGTTTTCCACAGCCAACTCTTCGCAGTGATAGAGTCCTGCACACGATGAATGCAGGCATTTGATTATATAAACAAGCTTATATATATTGAAATTTTTTTTCTTTGTCCAGCCAAAAAGTACCTGCTTATGAATTTGAGATGCATTATCCGACTGTCAAGAACGAAGCAGTGAAAGAGGATGAGCCAAAGGAACACAAGACGTGCAGAGGATAAATTACTTGGCGGTTAGAGTAGGATGATGGCTTACCAAAAGATGTTCAAGCATCTCTGGGTCATCTTTCGAAGATGAGGCTGCCATCTCATCTGCATACCAAGTCAGTTAGTCCACTTAAGATTATTGAAAAATTCAAGAACAAGACAAGGCTCATTGCTCGATTTGGCAGATTCATATAAGCAATTGTGAAAGGTGAATCAATGGCAACAAGAAAAGTAAAATCAAGAAACCAAAAACATCATTGTCTCTCTCTCATTCATGAGCCAAAATATTAAGGTCATTTAAGTTGTCATCCCAGGAGACAAGTTTTCTGGTATCTGCTTACTACAATTTGTTCCAGTAACTCATTCAGGAAACTAATGTTAGAGATCGCTCAGTTTCGTGTCAAATATAAGTGTTTCTGCTTCCAGTTTAATATGGAAAAACAGTTTATGTGGCAGCGCTTTAGCAAGTATGACGATTCGATAAAAATAAAGTGCACCTTGATTATAAAGGCTGGTAGATTGACTGGTTTCTTTGGAGTCTGCGGAATGCAAGTCTCCAGGCCTGGATGCAATAAAAAGGCAAAAGCTGAGATAAAGAAATGGCAAGGTCATATGTTAACAGTTTGACCTTACATTTTTCCTATACCTCAAGCAAAGGAAGCATTTATCTTAGCCTACCACATGATTGTAGTCACTCAACTACACTGTAATTAAGAACTTAGATGATCTGAATGATACCACAAGGTTGTTGGTGCTTTATAGTCGTTTTGAAGTAAGGGAGATCGACTTTTTTGCAATTCTCAAAGAAGATAAAATATACACGATGTGAAGCCTCCAAAAATTAAACAAGTTTCACAGATCTACCTGTCTACTTTTCTTCTTTTTGCCAAAGTTACTGGTTTTAGAACTATAGCTCTAAAGGAAGTAAGAAAATAGTTTGCTGCTTTGCTCCTACAGGGAAGTCATTACCGCAGCATTATGTACAGCCAACCTTGACAATTCTACCTTATTGGACCAACTAATGTAACAATTGCCATCAGTCTATCAACTTTATAAACGTCAAAACAAGTTGACACCATGAATGTCATACCTGCTTGGAGATGCTGACATGAGGAGACTGACGGCCACTTCTCTTGTTTGCAGCTGAATATCCAACAGCATTTTCCATCGCCAACCTAAATCTTCGTCAGTTCTGCAGAAATACTGCAATTGAAGAATTACTCATGCTGGCATTGGCAACATAATCAATGTCCGCGCGTGCTCGGAAGTTCCCTCTTGTTTCCCATTCTTCAACAAGCAGATAAAGCAAAGGTCTAATATGAAAATGTGGACAAGTTGGTCCATGTGAATCTTTTGTTTCCCTGGAATCCTCCATTGTAAGCGAGAGTTTCAATAACCAAGAAATTAGGAAGCTTTATCGTAGTAATTTCCTACTAACAAAATCTGAAAGCTGGTCTGTCTATAGCCATGCCCATCTCCAATAAAAGAATAAAGGCTTCCGAGCTAAGGTTCATTCAGACCCAAAAGAAAAAGAACTAAGGCTCATGATTCCCAATAGTATTCTTTTACTCAAAACACCAGATGGTCATTCAAGGAGAGGCATAAACAGATAAACTAATTCCTTCAGGAAATTGAAGAGCAGTCTAAAGCAGAAACACACACACACTCCCAGAGAGAGAGAGAGTACAAGATGGGTTTTGAGGGAGGATTGTGAAGGAGAGACTCAAGGCGATCAAGCTTCGTCCCAAGCTCAAGAAGTTTGGATTTAGTGGTGTTTCTGAGCCTGCATAGCTCGAGGATTCTACTTCTTGACCTTGCTCTCTAGCTCTTCCAACAACCCTGAAGCTTCTTCAGCTTCACTCATCCACGCATCCATCACCATGAATCTCTTCACCATATCTCTCTCTCTCTCTCTCTCTCTCTCTCTCTCTCTTCTGAATTGACCATCAACCTCTCATATCTCCATTACAGTTAAGCTGAACCATAACGGGCTTGCAAATGCATGACACTCACATGCATGATGACTTAAATGACTCTGATTTAGACCACTCGAATTATAGCTGGCACAAATCATTTGAGCTTGTTATGGGCAAATTTGGAAAGGCGTATGTGGTTTAAGCAACAGCTAAGATCTGTTTCTCGTGGACAGAATTCCAAAGAGAAAGATGGAAGGTGATATGACATCCTGTCTCTTTCATGTGTAATGAATTGGGACATTGAAGGTTATTTAATTGTTGCCAAACAATGAAATGATTGGTCCAGCTCAAATTAATCAACATAAGATGAAGTAGTACTGACAAAGCCATGTCCATTTTTCTTGGTCATTGTCTTGGTTACAGGCGAATTGGGTTGTCCCAATTTGTCTCATCTGGCAGTATCAGTTTCCGTTTTGAAGGGGTTGGTGTGGTCATTGTTGCTTTGATATGGCAATTGCATAGAGTTGGTAATTGCATGTTGATTTGCTGGGCTGGTTTTAGGCTTGGGCCGAAAGACCAAGAAGTTATCTCATGCACCCGGTTCAATTGATTTAACTTGGGGATCTCACATGGGATCCACATGATCCAACGGTTAACATCTTCTGAGCGTCTGTAGTCTGGGTGCAACTAATAACTCTTCCGAAAGATTCGACACTGAGCACACCTAGGAGAAGATAAGCCGAGTGAAGACTAAGAGGATTTTCCATGATCGAATCTCAAATGGACCCTCGATGCCTAAGTCGATAACAAAAGGAAGTTTGATTTTGCAATTGCAGGAATGAGATAAGAGGCTGGTTTCTGGCCTACACGATCCCGCTATGATCTTATCCTTACATTACACCTATGGGGTCAATTTGGGGCTTGTATTTCTTCGTGACAGTTCAAGTCATCTGAAATGAAATGACCAAAAGTAGAGTCGAAATATGTTTTTGTGGTTCATAAATGTCTCGATGGAATAGTGTTAGATGACAATTTATGCGTGTGAAATGAAGAGGAGTTGAAGAAGCATAAGAGCCCAAAACCAGCCCAACATAGAGGTGAGGCCCAGTTCTTGGCCTGTGAAAAAAGTGCAGCTTTTTCTCGTAAATGGATAACAAGGCTTCCATTTTGATGATTACGATGTTATAATGAAAATTATTAGGATTAGCCGTACAAACACAATAAAATAGAGAGTAAAAGCGAAGAAGAAAAATCGATACACAAGGTTTTATCCTTATTCACTCTTAAACTAGGGCTACGTCCAGCAAATGATTCCACTATATTTATCACATCTCACCTCTTTTTTACATTCCTCAAGTACTAGAGAAAGGGATTATATATACTTAGTAACTATTCATAGGCTCAAGTTCAAACTACCAATAAAATGCATCCCAAACTATAAAAGCTCTTTGACATCGCGGGGACACTGTCCTCAATGAGCCCTGCCGAGGCGGCCCCCCGGACCCCCATCCACTCACTGAGAAGCGGGACCCTCGTGCTTTCCTATTGATGGAGAGTATAAAACACACCCCAACAAAAATTACTAAAAAAAAGTGCTTTGCAAAAATTGACATTTAGAAAAATTTTAAAAGACCGCCTTATTTCGAACCATTCGAATTATTGATGACTGAAAAAAGTTCATCGACACCACATGGAGATTGTACACATATATGCAGAATGAGAAAACTATTTTGAGATTTGAAAAAAAAAATTATGGCTGGTTATAAGATGAAAAATATTCAAATTCCGCAATGAAAACACATGAAATATAAAATGGGATTATTCTTTTACGCATCTATCGATTAATAAAGTATTATAAAATAACCGGCAGATAGATATTTTGAAAAAGAAAAAAGAAAAAAAAAAGAATTGCGATCCCTTTGAAGTATGAGATTCTCTTTACCTTATATAACAATATAGATGATCATGTAAAATCAATTATGCGAAAATTTTCTTTGGTTTTATTAAATAACTCAAACTACCTCGGGCAAATCGCTAGCAATAGTATCAGTTCAATATTGATTCTCTTAATTTCTCCAAACGACACTCTTTATGCAGAGAATTCAGAACCCACCTTTTCCCATTGATACTGATAAAATTATTACTGCATGCTGGCGATATTGTACACATACAAATGCCTTGGTAAGTTTACATGTGTATCCCAAAAGGGAGGGAAAATACAAAAACAAATACACCTTATTTTGGACCCAATGATCACGTAAATACGTATACTTTCGCGAAAATACTATCGCCGCACCTCTAAGCAATACCACATCGAAAAAACCAAATTACCCTCGTTGGAAGCTCATCTTAGCATCTCGCTTAGGAGTTTGGGGCTTGGGGTGATTTGGTTTTTAGTTGGTATTGAGCGTTATGGGTGTGTGCAAGAATCTTCAGGATTTGTGGGGATGGGCATTTTTGGAACAAAATTGCATTTCGTGAATAGGGGGCACTAGGATGATTAATGCAAAAGTATAAAGTGGCCTCCAAAGGTAAAACTCATGCGTATTTTCAAAAGCAGAGGTATATAAGTGGGTATCGAGTAAAAGGCGAGGTACCTTTTCGCTATTTTTCAAAAAACGAACATGTTGTCTTTATAGATCTTTGACAAGTGATGCTATACTCAATGGCTTGACAAGGAAAGGAGACAAATTTTGTACCGGCGTGTGCTAAGTGTATAGTCATCATCTCGTTACTTGAAATGGATTCAAAAATTCTGAGGTGCACATGGTCTCATGTCGGACGGTTCAGTCAGCACAGCAGCAGCACCATGACAAAGAGGTTGCTCTTGGTATCATGTTTTCGGGAATCGATCTTTCCTAAGATTGATGAATAGACAACTCTTTTGGTTGGAAAAGAAAGACACTTTTGCCAAGGTTGATCTGTTCTTTTCCTGGTAGAAATGCTGTTTTTTGTTCAGGTAAGTTGGCGCCAGATCTCTGCATCTTCATATGGTAATTCTCTTCTCTTCTTTGGCCTTTTGATGCTGTCAATGACCTAGTTTCCATTTGCTCCGCTTGGGTAGAATTATCTACACATGATAAATTAGACCTTAAAGTGCACGAAAACGATGTACCGCGTAATGTTTTTCATCGCGTGACACGACTGACATCGTATCAACTATCAGTTGCACCTTCTTGTTGCTCGAGGCGATGTTATGGGCTGAGCCTCGAGGAAAGAATGACTTGCTAATCCCCTATGCTTTCCACTATATCGGCCCGACTAAGAAGGGGGACTTAAGTTTCGTGTACAGAAGTCGGCCGAAATCCCATCGGTTGCAACACGAGAACAGAGAGATACCATGCCGATGTTAATAGGAGAGCATTGCAGGCCTAGGCCTAGCCCATGGAGTAGGCCTAACTTGCTATCCGAGCCATTTCCGAATAAAGATCCAAGTCAGGCGAGCCTGACTCGGGCCCGACCCGTGTCGAGCATGGCCGCATGACTCACTGCCCTTGCATAGTAACCGTTCAGATCCATCCACGAGCTCTCATGGTTAGGCAGGCGAATCTATCTGCCTAGCCCCACACTGATCAAGTCTCGCCAGCATGTCACGCAGCATATGCGCAACCCGATCGATATACCTTCTCCGAGGGGCGGGAAGAAGGGCTTCGACAACCGAGGGTGCACCGGGCATTCCATAGACCGGAGCAGCAGAGTAGCAGCACCACCTTTGCCAAGGGGGAATTCAATTAAATTGGTCCCAGTCTCTGCATGAGTTCACGTGTCCTGCCATACAATTGCCGTTTATTACACCATCATCAGCACCCCGCTGCTGCATAGGATTCTAGGGACCGAGATACCCCCCAAAACACCTTCATATGTACCCACATACATACCTATGTTTCAAACTTATCGCTTCTCCCATCCCCCACTCTCGCGGATGCTGCCGCTTCCCGCACGCGCTTCTCCCCCTAGTTCCTTGCGGTGGAAGAGAGAGAATGGTGATTGACAGCACAGATGATTTGAATCTTGATGACAAGTTGTTGTCCCCTTTCCTCAATCCTGACTTCTTCACCTCCTGCTGAAAGAGCGTGGTGGGTTATCATTTCTCTGTCCCAACAGGACAAAATCCTTGATAAATGAATATCAGAGAGAGAGAGAGAGGGAGAGGGAGAGGGAGAGAGAGAGGCCTTTCTTTGTAGTTTTCTTGGTATCACTTTGCCAATTTACAGTGAGCAGAGCTGGGGAGAGAGAGAAAGAGAGGTAAAGAGAGAGAGAGAGAGAGAGAGAGAGAGAGAGAGAGAGAGAGAGAGAGAGAGAGAGAGAGAGAGAGAGAGAGAGAGAGGGGTGGAGTTAGATAGAGCTCAAACACAAAAGATGTTTGATGGAGTGCCAGACCAGTTTCACCAGTTCATAGCCTCCTCAAGAGCTTCATCACTCTCTCTCCCTCTCTCTTTCCCACTTCAACACGCCTCTTCACCCCCACCGCCGCCACCGCCTCTCGCTTCTTTGAATTTCCCTGCCTTCGATCTCTACCCTCCTCACCACCACCACCACCACCACCACCATCATCTGCAGCAGCCGCCTCCCCACTTCCTGCAACCGCTGCACCAACCACCTACAGCCCAGAAGGACATCATCCATGAAGAGATAGATGGGGAGAACAGCTTGGTCCCCGTGAATTTGGGCATTGATCAGAGAGACAGATCCAAATTGGCAGAAGCAGCCACTGTTGATGATGATCACCAGTGGACTAGTGATGAAGTGCTTGCACTGTTCAAAATCAAATCTAGCATGGAGAATTGGTTCTCTGAATTCACTTGGGAACATGTATCCAGGTAAATACAAATCGGATTTTTTTTTTCTTACCAAATTGGAAAAGAAAGAGAGACAAGTAGGTTTCTTCTGTGCATGTGTGTTTGTCCGTGTGTGCATATGTGTCACACATGCATGCATCAATTTCATAGTCTTTTTGGACTTTCCGAATGAGTTTGACGAACTGAGGCTCAGAATCTAGTTGATGACTGGTTCAGTTTCTTCCTGAAACCAAAGAAAAATCAAGCAGCAGCTTGTATAGGGATCTTCAAGCTTAAAAAATTACCTCCCCCCAAAGAAATAACTAAACAGAGATAGTGCCTAAAGTTAAACAAATGGAGGAATAAACTCTCATGGCCCACTAAACAAGAAGTAAGGTCTGTGCGTATTCATATTTTAAAGTGGGTTGCATGCAGGAAGCTTGCAGAGCTTGGCTTCAGAAGGAGTGCTGAGAAGTGCAAGGCAAAATTTGAAGAAGAAAGTATCAGATCATATACACCCACTAGTGTTAGTTATCCCAAGAACGACAGGTTGCTGAGTGAGCTTGAAGAGCTGTGCAATAGTAATCATGGAGATCACCAGAACAATCCTCAACTACTTGCAGCTGACAAGAGCACTGATAATAAGGTGGGAAAGCTCAGAGTAGGAGAAGAAGAAGACAAGATGGCTGGTCAGATGATTCAGAACTTCGATGGCACCAATTCAAGAAATGAATTGCGTGCGACTGTGAATGATGCATCGGAGGACATTTACAAAAAGGTAGCAACAGATGATGAGGACCACATCAACAGGTCATCCTCAAAGGGCAAGAAGAGGAAGCGATCACAAGAGGAGAGACTGCTGAAGTATGAGCTGTTCAAGGGCTTATGTGAGAGTGTTGTCCACAGGTTGATGGCACAGCAGGAAGAGATGCACAAGCAGCTGCTTGAGGACATGGTGAGGAGAGAGAAGGAGATGGTGGAGAGAGAGGAGGCATGGAAGAGGGAGGAGATGGAGAGGATGAACAAGGAGCTTGATGCCAGGGCGCATGAGCAGGCCATTGCAGGTAACAGACAGGCCACCATCATTGAGTTCCTCAAGAAGTTCACTTCCTTCGACGGTGATGTTGATCACAACCCGCATTTGCTATCCAACTCTTCAAGTCCATGCTCCTTGGCTGAGCCCAACTCCTCAAACCCTAATGACAATTCTAGCACTTCCCATATGGGCACGCACAAGCAAAGCCATGTTGTTGAAGTTCCCACTTCGTCTTCTCTGGAAAATCACAATCAATCCACTTGTTCTTCCTCCCTCCAAAGCACACCCACCAAGCAAGACCCAAGTTCAGCTTCAGCAGCAATGGCTCAAACTGAATCCAGGTGCAACCCACCAACTTTGACCACAATGACTCCGCAAAACCCTAATCCTCTCAACCCCCATCAAAAGACCAATCATGGGTCACAAAACTCATATCCAAATGCGGCCAAAGATCAGGACCTTGGAAAGAGATGGCCAAGAGATGAAGTCCAAGCGCTCATAAACCTTAGGTGCAGTCTCTATGGTGGTACTTATAACGAAGATCACAAATTGGAAGGATCAAACAACAACAACAAAGCTCCACTTTGGGAGAGAATCTCACAGAAGATGTTGGAGCTGGGCTACGAGAGGAGTGCCAAGAGGTGCAAAGAGAAGTGGGAGAACATAAACAAGTACTTCAGAAAGACCAAAGACAACGACAAGAAGAGGTCTCTCGACTCGAGGACATGCCCTTACTTCCACCAACTGAGCCACTTGTACAGCCAAGGAAAGCTCCTCGCCGCTGCTGCGGCGCCCGCCGACCAGGCCCCGCCGGAGAGCCGCCTGGCCTTGCCGGAGGCCGGCACTCACGACGATTCATCTGCCGCGCAATGTGGTGACAAGGGCGTGGCCAATCAGGTAGCTCCAGCTGCTAATTTTGAGTTTTAAGTCCTGAGAAAGAGAGTTTTATTCATTTTTTTCTTCTTTCGCATGTTTTTGGTGTGCAGTCATGATGATAATAATCATAAAGTGGTAGGCTAGGCTAGCTGGCCTTTTTCTCTCTGCGAAGATTTGAGTAGCAGCAGTCCCTTTTTGTTATGTTCTTCCCTTTGTTTCTATTATATGTATATGATTTTCCCTTCCGAGGACAATGTCAGTGTAAAGTTGCAGCATGTGCACCGACAGGTTTGAGAAATGAGATTTGCATTATCTTTCCAAAGTCACGCACGATTCTCTCATTACTTTACAATGCCACTCGTGCGCGCCCGGGAAAGTGAAGAATAGAAAAGTTCATTTTCCTGCTTTTTGCAATAGTTGCAACACAACAGACATGCATTAGAGATTGTGGAAGACAACGCAATTTTTTTTATTTTATTTTTGGCTAAGAAAATAATAATTGCTATGTTAATTGAAATTGATTCCCTTCATTTTGAATAATATCAGCCCTTTTGATTTAATTAATTTTTTCACTTAATGCAAAGTTTATTGATAGTATATCCATACAAGCTAATATCATGTTAAACTTATATTGTACTTGCTCTGGTTCTCACCTTAGATATGCATTTGGGAGTAATGTCAACAAATTCATGGATGGCTATTAAGTTATGCATTATATTTGTCTATTATGTCTGGCAATTTTTTTTAAGGTTCCACGAAACTGATTGTCTATTTTTCTAGTAGCAAAGAAGAATTATATCGAATTTTGCAACTAATTGTTATTCCTCTTGAAAGATCGATAGGTAATTTTCAAAGTTAGAACAAGGACTTAATGTCATCACCAATTTAGTCTATATTGGTTTTGCTTCAATGTTGAACGGATGACTTGGTGATTTGTGTATGACTAACTATTCTTATCCTAAAGACAATATTTTCACCATTGCTTAGTACTTATTAAGTAACTGTGAAGTGTAATACATGTTCATATCTAAAACATTAGATACTCTTTCCTATATCAAATGCTGATAATGTTTTCACACAAAAAAAAAACATAAACATGAGCAGGAGCTATTAATTTTGATTGAATCTTTTCTTAATATATAGTTTCTAATTTTGTGTTAGTCTCATCATTCTTCGTACTAATATTAGACTTGATAAAACTAATTTACAAAATTAGTTTACCAAGTAATGAGACAAACTGCGATTGACTCTATTTTCTTCTTTTTAAGTAGGTAGTGAAATACTTGATGGACTCTGAAAAAAGAGAAAAGAAAAGTGAAATTGCATTTATAGCCTTATTATTACACCAAAGCCCTAAAAAGTGAGATGAAAAGAAGATTTTCAGTTATAGTATGAGATACTAGCAAAAGATAGGTTATGATATCAAAAACTATAAGATAGGTTATGATATCAAAAACTATAAGATGGACACTAACATGTTAATTTCATCGAATGAGAACTGAATAATATTATTTGTGATTTTACTTTGGACATCCTTGCGAAAACGAGTGATAATGAGTTAATAACGATCTTACATCGATTATATTTACACTATTGTTCCTCGTTGATGGATGATATTTCTAATAATATCCAATCTTTTTTCTAATTCAAGTCCTATCTTGTTCATCAAGCATTCGATTTGAATGTAATATCCATTACATTCAAATTTTGAGGGGCCACATTTGCCATTCGGGAAATAAATGGCTTGTTTGGTTCGGTTTTGGGGGAATGTCTTTGGCAAAATGCAAAGGCTTTTGAGCTAAGATGGTTCTCCGAAATACAAGTAGTGTTGGGTAATGTGTATTTTAAAATCATGTTTGAAAGCAACTTTGGTCTAAATACCGTTTGGTAAAAACTAATTTTGTAAGGGACTTTGCTAATATTTAAAAAAAAAATCCGGAAAAAACTCAGCCACCGCCGGTAGGCCAAAACGGCCGCCGGCCAACCTCTGCCGGCCAGATCTGGCCGCTGACTATCCTCGCCTGAGGTCGGGCGACCTCATGCGTCATTGCCTCGGTTGCGCGACCTTAGGCGATGCGGCCTGAGGTTGCTTGACCTAGGCATCGCCTAGGTCGCGCGGGTCCAGCCACCGCCGCCTGGGGGTCGCCCGACCGCCGCCTGGAGGTCGCCCGACCTCAGGCAGCGCCTAGGTCACACGACCCAAATCGGCGACCTCATGCGTCATTGCCTCGGTTGCGCGACCTTAGGCGATGCGGCCTGAGGTTGCTTGACCTAGGCATCGCCTAGGTCGCGCGGGTCCAGCCACCGCCGCCTGGGGGTCGCCCGACCGCCGCCTGGAGGTCGCCCGACCTCAGGCAGCGCCTAGGTCACACGACCCAAATCCCAGGCGGTGGTGGCCGGCCTCCGGTTCGGTTCCTCGGGAAGATGAACGGTGTGCATGAACAATGCACCCTGCATTTCGAAAATGCAATTTGCCAAAGTGCCTCCGGACTTGCCTTGGGCTAAGAGACTTTAGAAACCTTTGGAAATGCAATTGCATTTTCCCAAAGTGCTCCAAAAAAATTGTCAAACGCCATTTGTATTTGGCCAAGGGACTTTAAATCCCAAATGAGCATTCCAAATGCTGAACCAAGCAGGTCCAAAAGTCTTAGCCACGCGCATGAACATGACAATTTCAGATATCCCATTTTTACAAGTTTCCTCCACGAACCATCAAGAACGTAGATTGTCGGTCAATTGATATATATAAAAAAGATCCGATTACATAAGTAGCATCAATTGTGCTAGCCATTCACGTGACCTCGTCAGTGTTATATACCGACACTGAAGTCGGAGCTTGTGATAACCACGTGAAGTCCCGAAAAATTTAATTTTTAGCGTTCAATGTCATTGGGTGAAAAATGTCAATAGAAATTAGAATGTTACAAGTTATATCATCGACACGTTTCTATAGTACTCACTGCCCTATATTTGTAGGAGACTAATGTAATTTATTATTCAATTATTTTTTGTGATAAGGAATTATTTTTCCTTTATTTCCGTAGAATTTGATGATTTAAAAAGAAAACAATTTTTTCTTTTAACTTACGCATCGACAGCTCAGCGACATAATAATTCTGTCTCCGGTGGGCCCCCACCACATGACAGGGCCGTCAGACGCGCTATTATATACAGTACAGCGAGCCTTCCTGAGGCCCCACCGGGGCCCCACCCCGTCCTCTCCTCCCCGCCGTTGATCAACCGCCCCGCGAACACATCGGCGTCGCGCGTGCGATCCTGGCGCGGGCGCACTGCCCGATACCCTGCGCGGCCACTCCCTGAATTTTTCCCCACGCCATCAAGACCGAATCGGAGAGGTGGAAAAGTGCGCCTGCGGAGGCCCGCGCGTGCGCCCGCGCTCATCCAACGGCTCGGAGGTCGACCAATGACTCGGAAGTCAACGTGATCGAGCGCGGTCCTCCATCTGACGACCCTTTTCGGCCTTTTCCCGAGGGGTGGCCGGGGCTTTGACTTTGGCCCTCGTTGACCGCTTTTTAGCACTCGTACGCAGCCATGATCAGCTTGAAGGGGCAAAATAATAATGACCCAATAATACCAAATGAAATTAAAGCAAGGCTTTTGACCCACCAAAAAAAAAAAAATTAAAGTAAGGCTTTATCGAGAATTTAGTGGGTCCAGAGAGGGAAGGTATTTCGCGTGATAACCCGGGCGGTGCTGTAGTCCTACTGAAAGCAAGTGATCCCAAAAATTAAGTGTCGCGTATTGATGAGATGCAGCGTGCGGGGCGTGGACAATGTGATCGGCCCGTTATATCGTGACAGGCCATGTGACGTGACTGATATATAAAACGCTTTCTTCTATAGAATAGAGACAGACTGCATATGGCACGTTCGATCGCGTGATTTGGTAAATTTTATATTTTTAAAAGACAATTTACAAAGGGAAAATTTTAACCATTTGCTGCATGTAGCCCAAGAAAATGGATAGGAGAGGGAGGAGGAGTCATAAGAGGCCCAATTATTAGGTTTTGGGCCCTAGCCCAGATAAACAGCACAAGTGAGTCTTGGTTGCAAAATTTGATTTTGGTAGTCCATATACCAAAACATAGACGGCTTATGACCACAATGAGATGCAATGACAATACTACCATACCACCACATAAAAAGGGTTTCGGCGAGACCAAAAAGGAGTGAAGACAGGCGATGTCCGAGTCGAATCTCCAATTTAGAGGGTCCCGAGCGAGTTCGAGGTCCCGTACTTATGGACGGTCTAGCAATTACTTGACGCGGGTAGAAGGCGGAGTATCAGTTCATCTTGAATGCGAAAATAATCTTTGCTTGAATACAACATTCCATTGATTATTTCTCGTGGGTAACCAAGACGGACAGTCTTGAGAGCTTCATCGTCGTGAGGAAACACTGCTTTTCCCATTCATTTGCTAAGAGAAAAGACGCCGTGTCGTGTGTCGTCGCTCGACAACGCGAAAGGAGCAATGCATGTGAATTTTCGTGCTTGGAAGTGACGGATGCGCACGAGCCCCGCTAGATACCAAAAGAACACACATAAAATATTTGTGGGTGGGATGGTGTCGGTGCAAAGTAATGATGCTATGGACGATAATGATGGCAGCTATAGTCTACAAAGAACACAAGGACGAAGGCAAGATCTGTCGGAAGCTTCGCGGGGTTCGATTCCTCCACGACGTTGCGTGCTGATATACCGGCTCGGGATTTGACTCGCGTCTTGCTTTGATTTACGACGTTAGAGAGGCGTTCCGTCGGTCTAGATTTTACCTACTGAAATCATACTTGTTCTTCGTGATTAATGGAGGGCCAAAGGTGGGGGACGATAACGCGAAGTTGACTCGTCTCGAAAAGCTTTTTGATGTGAAGTTGTTCGAAAACATTGGAAATCGCTTTGAGATAATGGTGGGGTGGCACTTTCTGGCCTTCGGGTCACGGTCGAGTAGTTGCTTTGCCACTCTTTTTTCTCACCCTTTTTGTCCTGCGGATGCATGAGAAGGAAACGTAAGTGTTTGGACATCAAACTTCTTGCCGCGTTCATTTCCTAGACTTGTTTTCTAGATGATTCGTCCCGGATGCATGACAAGGAAACGCAACTTTTGCGAAAATCGATGATCTTTTCGACCATTCTAACTCCGCCGGAGAGCTTTCTCCGTCGCTCGACATCAGCTTGTTTTTCGACCCCATTAAATATATTGATCTCGTCAAATGTTGGGATGCGGTTCATACTCCCCATCAACAGAAAGGTATGGGGCGGGTGGGGATTCGGGGTGGCTGCCTCCGCAATGCTTGAGGGCTT